AGTTAAAACTATTTTCATGATGATACTAAAAAATCATTTGTTTTTTCACAAGTGTGCTAGGAGTTTGCTAAAGGCTGTGACACAGTATTTCAACATTGAATGAAGGAGGTAAATCTGTCTGCCTTCAAATAAATTAAGTATTAAAAAGATGTTCAGGGATGGGACTGTAGCTCTGTGGTATAGTTCCTGCTTAGCATGCTGGAGGTCCTGGGTTCAGTCCCCAGTGGTGCAAGTGTATGCATGCGCAACAAAAAAGATTTGCAAAAATGTAAAAAACAAAGCTACTCTGAATTTTTTGTTTTTAAAAAAGTTTTTCATTCATTGTACTGTAATGTGTAACTAATTAAAATACATTAAAAAAGTTTTTCATAAAAACATTTGTTTACAGGGCTGGGGATGTGGCTCAGTGGTAGAGCTCTTGCCTAGCATGCATGAGGCACTGGGTTCTATCCTCAGCAACACAGGAAAAAAAAAATAGGTAAATAAATAAAGGTGTTGTGTCATCCTACAACTTAAAAATAAATGTTTAAAAAAGAAGTTTGTTTACAAGTAATCTGTTTATAAAAGTTTACAACATTTGTTTAGAAGTTTTAATAAAGGCGTTTGTTTACAAGTAATTATTTTAAAATTAATTAGTATTTTAAAATTTCTTTTGTTTTAATTTCAAATATGATACAAATCTATAGACAAGACCTTATATTATCAAACTCTGGGGTCCTCTGAATAGAAACAGTTTGAGAAGAGCTGAATTACAGTATTCCTGTTCAGTCTCTATTCAGTATGGTAGCCAGTAGCCTATTGAGTACTTGAAATGTGACTGAGAGTTTTAAATTTCTTTATATTGATTACATGTTGAAATGGCAATGTTTGGGGTGTATTGGGTTAAACAAAGGTGTTAATTTTGCTTTTTAAAATGTGGCTACAGGAAAAGTTTATGTGTGTTGCTGTTATTATTGGACAGCTTTGGTTTGGAAAATAGTATTTAGTTATTTTTCTTGGAAAATAGTATTTAGTTATTTTCTCTTATAGTTTATAACACAGATACATTAATTAGGTCAAGGGCAAAAAAAAAAAAGGTGGGGTACCCAGACTTTTACTTTCCCCTCTTTTCGTTACCTTCATTTGTATTCTTCATTACTATTGTTATAGACTGTGCATGACATAAGTAAGTGTGTGGTGGTTGAACAGTGATGATCTTGTGATACTGGTTTGTGGTACTGTTTGTAGGAGAGTACTCTGTCACTTAATGGAACATCTTAACATTTTCCCTCCATTGCTCTCAAATGAAATTGCTACTAAATTTTGTTTTTGACTTGAGAACATTGTTATGAACTAGATCCATTGCCAGCATTCTCTTATGCAAAGCTGAGAGGTATGCCTCTTGTCAGACTTAATTACCAAGTTTGGTATTTTGTAACAGCTGTTGAGTGAGTCTGGAATAGTCTACCATACAAACACCAGTTGATTAGAAACATAGAAATGGAACAAGAATATTCCTACCAGTAGTAAATGAAGACATGGGCAATTTTTATTTTTGGCACTGTATTTAAAATGAAAATAGTTTTTGAAATGTATTTGATGCATTTATTTCTTCAAGGAGGATTGACTAGTAATATGAACTACTAGAAAATGATACCTTTCTGGTTACTTTCAGCTTCATTTGTTTCTATTTAAAAGGAGTTGCTTGTTTTTCCTCTGTAAATTTCATACACTGGTTTAGAAAGGATACTTACTAGTCTCAGATTTTAAATAAGAGGTAAGGAGTGTTATTTTTCAGCTATTGCTTTTAGTTTACTTACTTTGATTGCACAACACTGTTAAATTTATGGTTGTGCTTTAGAATTGTGTGTAGTTTGAGTTTAAATTTTAATTATTGATCTGAACAAAATAGTATTGAAAAAAATTGCTTTAATTATAGAAACTTGTATAGAAGGGGTGGCTCTTAAATTTCGGTTATCAAAAACCACTTGTTGCTGGGCTGGTGGMACACAATGAGAATGAGGCAGGAGGATCAAAGTTCAAGGCCTGTCTGGGCAACTTGGTGTGACTCTCCTTCAAAAAAATAAATAAATAAAAAGGACTGGGGACGTTCAACTTGGTAGTAGCATACTCCTGGGTTCAGTTCCCAGTACTGCAAGGAAAAAAAAATTACTTCTGTTAACAAAAGTATAGACATAGTGCCTGTTTTTACAAAATAGGTATTCTTGGAACTGTCAGTGGTACATTATTTATTGTAAATTGAGAGTGAGCTCTTGGAATTTTGTGTTTAGCATTATTTGGTAGATAAAACTTGTAAGAAGTGAAAGAAGTAAGCATCGAAAAAGAAGTGAAATCAGTGGTCTCAGACCTTGAGCTGTTGTCTTACAGAGTAACTTTTAAAATTATATTTTATTATACTTAAGTTTTTGACATCCTCTGAACTATTAGCTTCATGAAGCTAGACAACCTATTCACACTGTATCCCAGATTTTGTAGCACAGGGCAGACACTAGTGAAATACTCAGCAACCACTTGTTAATTATCCTTAAACTGTTAGTTCTCTGGTTGATAATTCTTAGATGTCATATACATATTTTATATTCTCATCCTAAATTGAAGATATAAATTTTCTTATATGTATTTATCTTACCAAATAAATTTTTTAAAAAGGCATTTCTAGGATATAATATGTTGCACATTGGGGAGAAGGGAAAGGTCAGAAATATCTAAGAAAATACACTTTAAAATTTTTTCTATAACAACAAGAAATTAAGGTTTTGAAAATATGCCTCAAACTACATAAGAATTTCAGGCACATAGTATGTGTTAGGCAAATTTCATTTTGTTCATAAATTAATTACTTAAAAATCTGGTAAATTATTAATACTGAATACTTCAAGTCTGATTTTAATATGGTAGGGTTTTAGGGTGTGTCTTAACACAATTACATAAGGCATTAGTTTACACAGGATAGTTTATTAATAGCACCTAAGACCACAGCTAAATTGCAGCACCAAGCAGACTTTTAAAGAGAATGCTCCTAGATTAAATTTTTAAAACCTGTGTGCGCTTTCCAGGTTCAGTAGTATATGTGAGTATTGTAGGGAGGCACTTTGAAAAAATTCCTGAGAATAGTAATATATTTCATACTTACTACTAAGTTTCTTAAAAATTTGAGCTAGAAGGGCTGATTGAATCCTTTGCTTCAGTGAAGCTGCAGATAAGAGTAAGCAGGGTCACCTAAAGATAGATTTACTTAGAGGTTTGGCTGCCTCTCTGGAACCATTTAGCTTTGAGCAGATTTCCATAAATGGAAAGAGCAACTGGAGAGACCTAGTACCTTGGTTGAGAGTGTGGATGATGTGCAACAGGTGGTGGAACCGTCTCTGGATTTTTAAAATAAATGCTCCCCAAATGACGGGTGCTTAAAGCTGAAGCTTTAGCATTGGTGAATTCTGAAACCAAGTGGATTTTTCTCCCCAGTTATAAGTTTCCTGAAAATAAAGATTCATGTCATTAGTGAATAGAACTTGTGAATTTGAATATGATTTTATGAAACTTGTATAAACATTTACTTTCAGTTTCTTGAGAGGACATCTTGAGAAAAATCTATCAAATTAAAAACTGCTACACATATATGTTTTAGAGCCTTTTACCAAGGGAAGTATTCAGTGTTTGAATATATAATACAAAATTAATAAAACATTAAGAAGTTTGTCCCCCACTTCCCTTGGAAGGTCAGTGGGTTGTTCGACATTCAATACATAAAAGAACATTGAGAATTATAGCAGCTATAAAGTTAAGATAGCTCCCTTGACCTCAAGGAGCCTATTAGTATCTTGTGGGAGTGTTAAGTTGTCACTGTTTATCAAGTTATTTATATGCCAGGCACTGTGCTAAGGTTTTTTTTTTTTTTTTTTAATGGGAATCACATCATTTAATTCCTAAAACTATTTGAGGTTGGGGCTGGGGTTGTGGCCCAGTGGTAGTGCTTGCCTCACATATGTGAGGCACTGGGTTTGATCTTCAGCACCACATAAGAAAAAAATAACAAACAAAATAAAGGTATTAAAAACTATTTGACGTAAGTAATATTCCTGTTTTTTGAAGAACATTGAGGCCTAAAGAGGTTGTTACTTGCCTAAGTGGCAGAGACTAGAACAATTTCACAAGTAACTTAATATTAAAGCATGAAAAGAAGTGGTAGAAGAGACACCCAAAAGGTGATGGAATTAGAAAAGGCTTTGTGATGGGGGGATAACTGTTAAAGAAACTTAAACATCTCTTAAGAGAGCCAGGTGTGGTGCTGGGCCTCTGTAGTCCCAGCTACTTGAGGATGAAGCAGGAGGATCACTTGAGTCCACAAGTTTGAGACTAGCCGGGGCCAATCTCAAAATAATGAAACAAAAACAGAAAAAATCTCAAAGGTAAAACCTAGCAAGGTCAAGTGAAGTTCCGAGGAAAAGAACAAGGTTATTGTGAAGAAAGTTCCCAATTGTCCTATAGCTAAAGTTAATGGGTGTTGTTATACATCTCAGGCAGCCCTGCTCATTCAAGAGAGTCTCTGTAAGAATTAAACTAATTTATTAAAATCATTTAGAAATAAAAAGTGTTTCTGACCGATTCTGTTAAGTATTTTCTTACTTGTGGTTTTTAGTGGCAATATATCAAAATATATAATTGACCTTGTAGGATTGTTAATCTACACCATCCTCTCCCTGCTTCCCACCCCCAAGTTAATTTTGGCCTAAAATAGATACAGACTTCGAATTTCAAGGGTCTTTTTTTTGTTTTCCTTTGGATAAGATCCGGAAACTTCTCATTAATTTTTCATCAGCCTCATTGGTTGCTTTTTGAATGCACATTCATTAAGTGTAAATACTACCTTATTTTGGTTTTAAGTTATTTCTGTAAGTAGTTGATCAATAGAGTTGTTCACATGGAAGATAATTTATAGTTATGTCTTAAACAGTAATGTGTGTAGTTCATTTTTAATTCAGTAAAACTTATTTTTCCCCCAGTGGAAGCCTCAGTTCATAGCAGTAATGCACACTGTACAGATAAGACGATTGAAGCTGCTGAAGCCTTGCTTCATATGGAATCTCCTACCTGCTTGAGGGATGCAAGAAGTCCTGGTATGTGAACTGTTCATCTTACTGTCATATTACTTCATATTAGAATGAAGACTTTTTAATGCCAGAGTATTATTGTTGGACTTCTCAACGGTCTAATCTCCTTTTCCTTTTTAGACTGACAAATTAAAATTAGTGCTAATTTTAATAAAATGTTCAAGTATTACTTTGATTTGATAGAGATAGATACTTAATACCAATTTATGATGAATGCTAAGAGCAGCTATACTTTTTAATTCAAATAGGGATCCCTGTGTTTTATTCAGGGATAGGAGAAGTAAATTGTGGCTTATTGGTCAATATATTAATTCATGATAGTATATCTTTAAATTTGAAATAGAAATGTCACATACAGATTAATCACACATATTCAAAGGAAGCCAGAGCAACATTAGTGTGTAATACCATATAAGATAGCAATTTGTATGTACTGTTTTTATTGACCTAAAAACCAGGACTATTTCATTAAATATGAATTTGAAATATTGAAATGTAATATTCATTGATCTGTAATGAACAGTCTTCTTTTTTTATATTCTAAAATGAACTATAAATGCATACTTTTTACTGAAATACATATTTATAAATCTGATAAATTTGCATATATTACCTAAAGAATAATTATGGATATATGGAAGGTAAGTAATTACTAAAGAACTGTTAGACCATAATTTTAAAATGTTTTCCCAGCCGTCAAAATTAATCAAAAGTTTACAGAGAGCTTAAAAGTGTGAAGAAGCCTGGTGTGGTGGTGCATGCCTATAATCTCAGCTACTTGAGAGGCAGAGGCAAGAGGTATTGAAAATTTGAGGCCAGCCTCTGCAATTTATTGAGACCCTGTTTGAAATAAGAAAGGGCTGGGGATGTAGCTCAGTTGATAGAACACTCCTGGATGGTTCAATCCCCAGTACCACCAAAAAAAAAGCAGGTGATTGTTTACCACCTTTAAGATAATTTCTTTCACTTTTATTTTCTTGCATACTTTGGATCATATTGAATATTCAACAAATTAATTTCTTTAGTATTTAGTTTTTATCCTGCTTTGATTCGTGGTAAACCTTACTTCTAAATATTGAACTATCCCTATAAGAAATATTAATGGGGGTGGGAAATTTTAATTTTTCAACTTTTTTTTATAGTGGAAGTGTTTGTTCCTCCTTGTGTATCAACTCCAGAATTTATCCATGCTGCTATGAGGCCAGATGTCATTACAGAAACTGTAGTGGAGGTGTCGACTGAAGAATCTGAACCAATGGATACCTCTCCTATTCCTACGTCACCAGAGAGCCATGAACCAATGAAAAAGAAAAAAGGTAGAGAATATTTATAAATTTCTGAGAAAACAGATGACTTGGTTTTTTTTGCTGGCATTTTTCCCCCCCTTTAAGGGACACACAAAATAATATATGCTATCTAGTCTTAAAGACAAATTGGGGATGGGGTTGTGGCTCAGCGGCAGAGTGCTCACCTAGCATGTGCGAGGCCCTGGGTTTGATCCTCAGCACCACATAAAAGTAAGTAAATAAAATAGAGATATTGTGTCCAACTAAAAAATAAATATTTTTAAAAATTGAGTTTTTAGTTTTTATTATTTTTAAAAAATTTGAATGGCTCTACTTTGGTGCCATAAGTTTTTGGACTTGAACCTCACTGATGACAAACTGAGATTTTAATTTTGTGTTTTAACACTTATACTGTTTAAACAAGTTTGTATTTAGGCTCTAATGGTACTTATCTAAAAAGGAGCTTTTAAGTCTGGCATGGTGGTATATTCATATAATCCCAGCTACTCAGGAGGCTGAGGCAGGAGGATTGCAAGTTTGAGTCCAGACTGAGCAACTTAGTTTGAGGCCAGTTTTGGCAACTTAGTGAGAACCTGTTTCAAAATAAAAATTTTTAAAAAGGGCATCTCCAATCTCACAAGGAAACAGAGTATACCAGTATTCTTTCCTATTGAAACTAAAGGAGCCAAAATTTGAAAGGAGTAAAATCCTAAGTTAGGTACTCATCTAATTTTAGTTTCTTCCCTATGTCTTTGCATTTAAATAGAGGGGGGAAAGAAAGCAAAAATAAGGTAAAGGTGTTTTATTCATTAAACCCAGTTTAATGAATAAAATTCATAAATTGTTGCCGTGTACTCACTGTTGTAAGGAAGAAATGGACAGAGTACCAAGCTGGGAGGTGGTGTGCCTCAAGGATAGGGCACTGGCCTGGAATGTACAAGGCCTTGGGGTCCACCACTCCCTCTCCCCCATAGTATACCTGGAGGTAGCTGGGTCTTGAGAAAGATAGGAAAGAGAATTTAGAAGCAAGAATTATTTCCTACTATAAATGTTTAAAACCAAATGACACACATATAAGCAGCTTTATTAACTCACTACCCACTAAAAGCCTTTGGCTGGTTGCATGTAACAAAAACAGAACAAAAAAAGATGGGAAAAACATGAACAGCGGAGGTCATATAGAGAACCAGGATGTGTATGATATAAAACAGGAAATAATTTGCCAATTTACTACTATATCTTTGAAAGCTCTTCTTGAATGACCATTTAAAAATTACATATAACTATCCTATACTCATTGCCATTAGGATGTCAGTGAGTCATCAGAGTGCCATTACTTTTGGTTTTTCAAGTACATTTTATTTTTTAGTAGCAGAGCTTTTTTATTTTCAGTGCCTTTAATTACTAATGTATGTAGTATATTTCCAAGAAAGGATAGGCTTCAGTGTCAGTGTTTTAAAAGTTAATTTGATAGAGCCCTTTTTCCTACCGAGGAGTACTCTGTTAATTTCTTAAGGAACCTGATTTGGAAATGCCACCTTCTAAGAAAAGAAATTAAGCCAACTGTTTTATTAGACAGGATTTCATTATGTGGCCCAAGATGGTCTTGAACTTGTGTGGTTAGCTGGTCCTCCTACTTTAGCATCCTGAGTAGCTGAAACTGTAGGTGTATGGCACCACACCTGATTTAGCCTCTTTTTCACCTTGGGCTTTCATGCTTGAATTGAGGAGATGGTGAAGATATTAGATTTATTACTGATAGAATAAGTATTATTTGAGAAATTAAGCTTTATTCTAATAAGGACACCAGAAAACTTGCATTCTGGTTTTTGTAAATGCAGAGTTTTATTTATTAGTTACCAAAATGAAATCCTAGAAAATATCTATTTTATAATACATATTAAGACAATTTAGGTCTTTATGTGGTTAATCTAAATAAGCCTTGCTAATGGAGAAGAGAGAATGACATCAGAAATCCTAACTGTATGACAGTCACCAATCAGTAATTTTTTTAAATCTGAAAACATGATAGACTTGAGTATTTTCAACCTTCCTTCAGACTTCCTCTGTGCCAGTAGTCATTCATCTGTGCTGAGGATCTAATGTAACTCATTTTAGACTTATGCCTTCTTTAGTGTAGATTTAGCCCTTGCTTTTCTCTTCATTGTAGATGCTAGTCTGTCTGAGAGCCTAATTACAGAAATGAGGAGAAACAAAAGAGAAAGGCACAGACATTTATTAGACATATAAAACAATCACCTGGAATTTTTTTTTTAACTTTTAAAATATATGTGCATGTTGAGGAAGGGGAATTTAAACACTTTTGCTTAAATTCTGGTGAATCATCTGTTTCAGAGCAATAGAGAGTGTTTAATATTTTTTATTTTTCCTCATTTGAGCTCAGAGGACTTTATAGATCATCATATCCTCTGCAATAAGTAGAGCTGTTTCTAACAATCCCATAGAAGAGAATACAAAAGCCAAACATGGTGGTGCAGGCCTGTAATCCTAGTGGCTGGGGAGACTGAGGCAGGAGGATTGTGAGTTCAGAGCTGGCTTCAGCAACTTAGTGAGGCTTTGCCTCTAAATAAAATATTTTTAAAAAGGGTTGGGGATGTTGCTCAGTGCTTAAGCGCCCTGGGTTCAATCCCAGGCACCACAAAAAACATTATACTAGGACTTGTTGGTATTGCTACATTAATGTAAAAAGGTTAGCAGATTGAGGCTCTGACCATAAAAATAGATTGGTAGTATCTTATTTGCTGCATACCTTGAAGAGGAGCTAGCTGCTTCATTTAAAATTGCAGAAGTATTTTAAATGTTGCTTTTAGAAGCAACTATTTACATACATATACTGAGTATTTTAGGCCATATGTTAATGTGTAGTTAAATTAATAATATGTTATCAGAGGGTCAGCTAATCATACTTCTGTTATTTTTCCTGTTTTCGATATCTTATTTTTTTCAGTTGGCCGTAAACCAAAAACCCAGCAATCACCAATTTCCAATGGGTCTCCTGAGTTAGGTATCAAGAAGAAACCCAGAGAAGGAAAAGGTAATTTGGGGAGGATTATTTTGGAGATGAGTGTTTTCTTTCTCCCCCAGTTAGGTAACATGTTTACATTAGTGGTTTTTTAAAAAAAAAAATCATTTCTACTACATGTGTATATGGGACTACAGTTGCTAGTAGTGTTTCTAAATTAGGGATGGATCAGCATTACCAGGGGAGCCTTATCAGAATATCTAGGCCTGGTCCTCCCTGTCATCCCCAACCTCCACTGAGATTCTATAGCCATAGCAACACTGGGGGGAGTATCAAGAGGTCCTGACATCCTTAGGACAGCTTGATGCACATCCTTCTTAGGGGCGCTGGTTTTGGGGCGTGTGTGTATATACTAGCACTCATCCCCACACAGAGCCACTTGAATTGAAAGAGTTTACAACTAAGACTTGTTTCTGAAACATACTTTTTAAACTGGTTTAAAGCAGTACAAGGCAGGCTGAATTTAATTTTCTCATCAGCAAATTTCAGTCATGAGACAAAACTTAAGATTTGAAAAACTTTTTGCTTGAAAATATGTGTATCCTCACTAAAAATAAAAAAACTGCAATAAGCTTCCCCCACTCTGTTTTCTTAATTCATTGAGTAAAATGACTTCAAGTAACATTTCAGTAGTGGTTTTAGATATATTTTGTCTCATAATCTGATAGCCCCAAATTAATCACTTTAATGAATAAATGTTTTCAGACTAAGATTTGATAGATAAATTATAATTCTGGAGAAAAATTTTTTGTGATGACCTATTTTTACCAGTCAAATCCTCCTCCCACACCCCTTGTTTTTGCGGTGTTGGCAATGAACCCAGGGCCTCTCATATTCTAATAAGCGTGCATTCTACCATACAGTTATACCCCCAGCCTAAAAATTGCTTTTCATTAAAATTTCAGTCTTAAACTTGAGGCAGATGTTACAATGTGGACACTTGTTTTAGGCAAACCTGGATTCAAAATCTAGCAGTGTCTCCTCCTTTACAAAATGACATAGGCTTTACCTGACAAAGAAGTCTTCCCTTTCTGAATCTTCTTTTCCCTAAAACCAAAACTAGGATTGTTAATTAACTTGGATGGAAACTTGAGTGGAGTTTTTAAAGATAACCAAGCAATGTTGATGAATTTAATTCAACAAGCAAACTCCTGCTATGTATTAGGCATTGTCTGCTGTATAAAAATTTCTTCCAGCATAAAGCCTCTGCTCACTTTTGCTATGTCTGCTTTAAGGACCTGATAATCCCCTGGCTGTGAATAAAATAAAAATAAAATAAAAATGCCCCCAGCAACAAATTTTAATGTAGTTGATACATGATTCATCGGTTGCTAGGTTAATGATGCTGATGTAATAGAGCTTCAGAGATAGTTAATGTAATATTGTGAAAATTGAGGGTCAGTCTTTTTAGGTTGAGAGATGCATACTTGCTTCCAAACCATGAATTTGTCTGATTTTGAGGGAAATCCAGATTAAAAATTAAATACCAGAGGAAGAGTGTCAGTGTGTCCATTAAAGGAGAATTGGATTGGCAGCTTGGTTTGGAAGCTTCTCAGGTAGCCTGTAGCTTGGGTCTGGGTTTAAGGTTATGGAGACTGCTTGGTGGCCCAGTGGTGGTGTATGTATTGTCTTCTCCTTAGGACTCTTCTGTTCTTTCATCAATTTCAGAACCTCTGCTTCTGAAGGCTCCACAGGGAATAAAAGAAACCTGAAAAGCCTGCTTTTCTCATGACCCCTGCCCATTTCTCTTCCCTTTTCCAATGGGTGGGCGGGGTTTCTTTCTTCTTTTTGGGATTAAGTTCCTTATTTTATTTGCCCAGATTCCTTTCTTTTATGCAAACTTCAGCCAATTTCTAAGTCTTTGTGATGTTTTGCCAGCCTGCTTTATTTCCATTCCTGAGGCCCCATTGTTTTTTGTGATTCATTTGGAATGTAATTATGCATTGCCTTCTGATATACTGTTCCTGTAGTGTTGTTTAACTTATCTACTTTTTGTTTCTTGTCTATTAAATTGTAAATACCTTGAGGCGGAAACCAGGTTTTAAATTTTATTCTGTATCCTCCACTGCACTTAAGCACTAAATGTGATGAATAATGTATTTCCTCAGTTTCAGATTTTAATATTAGTTGTGCGATCCATAGCTAATGATGTAGCTGACATTTGATAAATACTAATCTTAGGGATCACCCTATTTCTTTCTAGTAGTCCATTTAAGAAGCTCATGTTTAAGACTGAAGCACAAATGTCTTTGAGTTGTTCTTATATTACTTATTTTTGTTATACTGGTATAATCAGCAGAAAAAGATGAGGAGTTTTTTTAAAAATCTGGTTTCAAAGGCAAGAATTTGTTGCTGGGTTCAGTGACACACACCTGAAATCCTAGCTACTCAGGAGGCTGGAACAGGACGATTTCAAGTTTGAGACCAGCCTTAGCAACTTAGTGAAACCCTGTGTCAAAATAAAAAAAGGACTGGGGATGTAGGATCTTAGGATTGAAAAGATCCTAAGACTGATACCAAAAAGTTTCTCACATTATATATTGCTGGCCTATTTAATAAAACTAATAGTGCCTTTTGATTAGTTTTGATATGGAATTTAGGCTTGTATAATACAATAAACACAGGTATATGTTAACTTATTCAGATTTCAGACCTTTGCAAATTAATAAATTTGATTGTTTAATTCAGGTTAACTTTTGTGCTAAGAATTGTGTCTTTCTCTTCACTAAACTCAAACTCTAGAATTAGTGATACATGACAGTACAAAACCCAGGACATTTATTTTATTAGTATCATAATTGGAAACGTGCAGTTTTTAAGATCAGCAAGCAAGTATATTTAGGATTCTATTTTATATTTATTTTGGAAGGGGTGGATATTGGGGATTAAACCCAGGGACGTTCTCCCACTGAGCTACATTCCCAGCCCTTTTTATTTTTTCATTTTAAGACAGGGTCTCACCAAGTTGCTGAGGCTGGCTTTAAATTTTTATTCCTCCTGCTTCAGCCTCCCACATTGCTGGGAATTAGAGTTGTGTGCCACAGAGTTCCGGCAGGCATTCTATATTATAAAAAAGGATACTTTATTTGCCTTTAATTGTGTTAATGAATTGTTTTTGCCTTGTTTTTAAAGGAAACACAACCTATTTGTGGGAGTTTCTTTTAGATCTACTTCAAGATAAAAATACGTGTCCTCGATATATTAAGTGGACTCAGAGAGAGAAGGGTATATTCAAGCTTGTGGATTCAAAGGCTGTCTCTAAGCTTTGGGGAAAGCATAAGAACAAACCGGACATGAATTATGAAACTATGGGACGAGCTTTAAGGTAAGAACACAAATGAGCTAGTTTTCAAACACAACTTGTATATATCTCTATATTGTCTGTTAGCTGTTTAAGAGCTCAACATCCCTTATATAAATTTAGAGGGTATTTTAGAGGAGTTTCTTAGATTGGGAAGTAGGTAAAGAGCGAGGAGTTTGATCCACATGCCTATAATTTCAGCATCATTGAAAAATACAGGGAAAAAAAATCCTTTTTACAAGTTGTAGGCCTTTAAAAAAATTAACCCGCCTCAAAAAGTTTCGAAGTTACTTAGCTTTTTAATTTCTTGCAATTTTGTTACAAATGGATTTCTCTTGACACGAAATATTTTCATAAGTGTTGTCTGTTTGAGAAATCCACAAAATTTTCAATGTGGTGGGCATACTAAGGGTATTTATAAACAAACACATTGGGTTTTATGTGATAGTAGTCACAAATCCCATAGATTCATCTCACTTAGTAAGTGTGACTCAAGTAATTTGTTCATATAATGTAACATTGTTTTCATAACCTTTGTAAATCCTAATAGAATTTTTTCCAGTAATTATTTAATTTAAGAAAGAGTTGTGGCTGAGCATGGTGGCTTATGTCTGTAATCTTATCAGCTCTGGAGGCCTGAGGCAGGAGGATTGTAACTTTGAGGCTAGCCTCAGGAACTTAGCAAGACCCTGCCTCAAAATAAAAATGGGGATATAGCTCAGTGGCAGAGTGCCCCTGTATTCAGTCTCCATTATTGCCCCCCTCCTGCATAAAAAAGAATCAAATTAGCCAGCTGTTTAACAGATCTCACCATTATAGGGCCTATGGTATCACGTTCTACTTCATTTCTGCTGCATATCTGAAACCTTTTGAGCAGTCCACGCCGTAAGCTCTTCCTTCTCTTAACAGGGATAGGAGAATGTATGCTGGTGTTTGCTGTGCATGTTTTTGTATTTTTGGACAGGGGGCTGATAATACACTTGATTTATTTAGTAATTTTTCCCCTTTTCAGATACTACTACCAACGGGGAATTCTTGCAAAGGTTGAAGGTCAGAGGCTTGTGTATCAGTTCAAGGATATGCCCAAAAACATAGTGGTCATAGATGATGACAAAAGTGAAACCTGCAATGAAGATTTAGCAGCAGCTGCTGATGAGAAATCATTAGAACGAGTGTCACTGTCTGCAGAAAGTCTCCTGAAAGCAGCAACTTCTGTTCGTGGTGGAAAAAACTCTTCTCCTATAAACTGCTCCAGAACAGAAAAAGGTGTAGCTAGAGTGGTGAATATCACTTCCCCTGCTCATGATGCCTCCTCCAGGTCTCCGACCACTACGGCTTCTGTATCAGCAGCAACAGCTCCAAGGTGAGGGGCATATAGTTACTTGTAACGTGTATTATTTTTGGAACGTATTATAACATTCTACAAACCCACTGTTGTCGGGACTTTAAAAAGTGCTTGGTATTTTAAATACTCTTGTTGTTAAAGTAGATGCCTCAAGTAACTTGAATTGGTTTTTCTGGTTGCATAGACGGACCTTTGTTTTTTCCTTTTCCACAATGCTGGAGTTGAACCCAGGGCCTTGTACATACTAGGCAAGAGCAACCCTGGATGGACCTATAATGTGGGCTTTAATTTTTTCTTAATTTGTTTTGTTGTATTTCATAGTTTAAGCTTGGATTGCCAGTTTATCTGTAAAATTTTATACATTTTGGAGTTTTATTCATCTTTTTGCACAGACTCATTTCCTAATTAAGCATCAATTATAACCAACTTCTTTCTTAATTTACTAGGACAGTTCGTGTGGCAATGCAAGTACCTGTTGTAATGACATCATTGGGTCAGAAGATTTCAACTGTGGCAGTTCAGTCAGTTAATGCAGGTGCACCATTAATAACCAGCACTAGTCCAACAACAGCGACTTCTCCAAAGGTAGTCATTCAGACAATCCCTACTGTGATGCCAGCCTCTGCTGAAAACGGAGACAAAATCACCATGCAGCCTGCCAAAATCATTACCATCCCAGCTACACAGCTTGCACAGTGTCAACTGCAGACAAAGTCCAATTTGACTGGATCAGGAAGCATTAACATTGTTGGAACCCCATTGGCTGTGAGAGCACTTACCCCTGTTTCAATAGCCCATGGCACACCTGTAATGAGACTATCAGTGCCCACTCAACAGGCATCTGGCCAGACTCCTCCTCGAGTTATCAGTGCGGTCATAAAAGGGCCAGAGGTTAAATCAGAAGCAGTAGTAAAAAAGCAGGAACATGATGTGAAAACTTTGCAGCTGGTAGAAGAAAAACCGGCAGATGGAAATAAGACAGTGACCCACGTGGTGGTTGTCAGCGCCCCTTCAGCTCTCGCCCTTCCGGTAACTATGAAGACCGAAGGACTAGTGACATGTGAGAAATAAAGAGCAGTTCCACTGTGGACTTTTAGACTGTTAGTGGTAGTACTGACATAAATGTTTGCAAGGGAAGTCATCAAGAAAAGTCAAAGGAAGACTTTAAAACATTTTTAATGCTTATAAGAAAACAATCAAACTTACTGGAAATAAATTACCTATCCCATGTTTCAGTGGGAAATGAACTACACATTGAGATGCTGACAGAAAACTGCCTCTTACAGTAGGAAACAACAGCCCAGCAATAAGGAAAAGGATTGAAAGGGACCAAGCAGCTCACTACAATATCAAGTTACACTAAGACTTGGAACACTAACATCTGTAAGAGGCTATATAGTTTTCAGTGGGGAGGGATTGGGATGGGTGATCTCATTGTTACATAGAGCAATTTTTGATGCATTTTATATGCATACCAGCAATTATTACTGTGTTCGCACAGTACTCACTTAACTGGTGCTATGTGAAGACTCTGCTAATATAGGTATTATAGAATGTGAATTGAAGAATGGATGGATCCAAAAGCTTCAGAAAGAGGATAGCAAAAAAGATCTAGTGCGACTTTTTTTTTTTTTTTTTTTTTTATCATATAGCTTAAGCTGATTTAAAACAAAGGCCTTAGACTAATTTTCGGTTTTCTTTCTTGAAATAAGCTAATGGCTTGTTTGTGTAAAGCTTTTTTATTAAAAGAAAAATTTTAAAAATCTTGTACCTAGCACAGTATTGTTATAGAATTTACATGTAACATTTTATATGGTAGTTTTAAGTCTGTCAKTTTCTTAATTGTGGACAAATTAACAGTTGGCTCTCTGGCCTTTTGCTGTAACATGCCTGTGTCATTCACTCAGCCCTGGTATCTGTGCAGACACGTCAGTTTCAGTTCTACTGTCACTTGAAAGTTCAGGCGCAGCATGAATTTTTGTCGGGTAGCTCTAGTACCTGGCATTTGTTTTCTTTCTTTTTCTTTTTTTTTTTCCTTATTTCTTTTACTTTTTCTTTCTTTTTTAGTTAAAAGTTTAAGAGGGAAAGTACCAGTGTTCAGATTTGAACTATAATAGTTTGTATATTCAACATTTGAAGTATATTCTATTTTGTTGTACTCTTGTTTCAAAGTGTATTCAAGTAGGTTTTCTGAAATATAGAAATGAAATTTATCTTGTCTTGGTCTCTGGTGATATTTTTAACAATATTTACAAGTGTGAAGAAATGCTACTTCTGTTGCTTCCTAGTATAAGAATATTCGGCAAACATCTGCGTGCTGCCAAGTCCTTCCTAATTTTTATCATGAACTATAATGATCTACTTTATGTAATTTAGTATTTTAGTTAGCCACACTTAAAGAATTTATGTATGTGACACTTCAGAGTCAAGCCATCTGGTTCTCATTCGGAGGGTAAGAAGTACAAGTAATTCTAGCCCTTTTACAGGTTAAGAAATTGGTACCAAAAACATAACTTGAATTGCCTAATTTCACACAAAACTAGGTCCTGTGACTCTGCATCTTAATGCTCTACTACAAAGAAAATTTGTTTATTAGATGAATGGATTCTTAATATTTTTGACCTTTATACATTTGATGATACTACTTAGATTGACAAAAGATTTTTTCTTTGGTACAGGGATTGAACTCAGGGGCACTTGACCACTGAACCACATCCCCAGCACTATTTTGTATTTTATTTAGAGGCAGGTCTCACTGAGTTGCTTAGCGCCTTGCTACTGCTGAGGCTGGCTTTGAACTCGTGATCCTCCTGCCTCAACTTCCCAAGCCGCTGGGATTGCAGACGTGTGCTACTGTGCCTGGCTCCAAAAGATGTTTTTAAATGTTCCTGTTTTAATCAGAAGTCCTGACAGTACTTCTGTGGGTGGGTTTGGGTATTAGGTACTTAACCCATGGGCAATTTACGGTGGAACAAATCTAAAGTCCTTTTTATTATTTTGAGACAGGGTCTCTCTAAGTTACTTAGGGCCTCACTAAATTACTAAAGCTGGCCTTTAACTTTGATCCTCCTGAGCCGCTGGGATTAAAATGTGTACTGCACCTGGACCTGATGGTACTTTTTAATAAAAGCTTGAGTCTCACTCATCCTATTTGGAAGTTAATCTCAAAGTCCACCTCCCTTTAGAACTTCTCCTAAATGTTTCAAGTTGTGAAAATTGGTACTGTATGTTTTGGTACCTACTGTATTATGTTCTTTTTCACCATGTCTTCCATAATACTCCTTTTGGTCAAAGATTATATTTTATTCCATCCCTAGCCCCCTCCCCAAGAAATGATCATATTAGAGACACTCAGAATAGACACTTTGGGATTTTGCTAACATTTACTAAAATCAGTCACATACTATGGAAGATATCTAAAGACACTTGAATTTCAAGTGAATGCCTTCTTCCTATGCTGTATCCATTACCTCCACCACTCTGCCTGAAAATCTTAGGGTCTATCTTAAAATAAATTCATCCAAAGCCTGGATTTGGGAACATATAGGTTGACAATAGCTATTGATAAGAGTATCAAACAATCAGTTGCATCCTCTCCACATCTTAAACTATGGCTTTTAATCTCAGCCCTTCCAAACTGTCAATCAGTGTAACTTTTATTTGCTTTTTTGGTCTAGCATATTTGGGGAAAGCCATGTGGCCATGCCTCGACACTCTTGTACTCTGTGCCTCCCCAGCTTCAGCCGTCTGTCCTTAGGTGGCAAAGATGGAGCTTGCACTGCTCTCAGCAGGTGTGCAGCACACTTCTTTACAGAGAACATGGTCACTCACTAATGCACCTTCACCCCATTTCTGGAACCCTCCCCTGGCTCCAACAGTCAGTAGCCTATCATTCTGTCTTTTTAAGTTGAATTCTGGCTTAGACACAGTTTTCATTGAGATCTCCAAATCAAGTAAATACTTCAGTATTTCATATGATCTCATATCTTTGGTCTGTGCCTCAAAACTCCTTTAGTTTTCTATGGTAATCTCTCTGGTTTCCTTCCTTCCTTAAACACCACCTTACCATCCAACCTTTGGGTTTCCAGCAAGGTTCTATGGCTCCTTTCCTCAGAATTGTGAGGATTAAAAGTTATTTAACAATTGTTAGTCCTACCTATGACTGTATATGGTTCTTACTACCAAATCTATTGTTCCAGACTAGATTTTCCTCAAGTATTAGATGAGTTCATCTAATTGCCAACTAGCTCTTTCCTCTTGAATGTACCAATTCAACTCTTTCCCCCTCCAAAATGTGTTCATTTCATTTGACTCAAATGACATTACCAGCAACCCATTACTAATGGCAGAGGAAATCCCAGCGCCATTCTTGATACTTTATTCATATCCATTCATCAAATTCTATTGTGCCTTTTAAATATCTTCCATTCCTATCCTTCCTGTCCTGTTGCTTGGTCCCAAACCTCCCAGTAATAACACTGGTGAGATATCTGCTGAAAGGTTCTAAAATGCAAATTTCTTCACTCACACCACTGTGATTGCTTTAAATTGATTGGCATCTGGCTAGAAAGACTGACATATAACAGAAATTTCTGAAATGGGCTTGGAAACCATTCAGGGTGCTATTCAGCCTAACATTTAAAGTCCTTTGATCAAGTCTCTGCCTGTCTTCCCAAGACTGTTTCCTTTTTTTAAAATGTATTTTTTAGTTGTAGATGGACACAATACTTTCATTTGTTTATTTTTATGTGGTATTAAGGATCAAACCGGGCTGGGGATGTGGCTCAAGCGGTAGCGCGCTCGCCTGGCTTGCGTGCGGCCCGGGTTCGATCCTCAACACCACATACCAACAAAGATGTTGTGTCTGCCGAGAACTAAAAAAAATAATAAATAAATATTTAAAAATTCAAAGGATCAAACCCAGTGCCTCATGCATGCTAGGTAAGCACTCTACCACTGAGCCACAACCCCAGCCCAAGCCTGTTTCCCTTTCAGACATCGCTGGGCTGGCCATTCTGAAATACTTCATTTCCCCAACCAACACAGGCACCTGTTGTTCACTGAGCCTCCCAGTAATGGCCTCTCCCTGGATAACACTTTCCTCCACTTAGATTTGAGTCGTTTAATTTGCTGAGTTGGCAGTGACTGACATATAAGCAGAAATTTCTGAAATAGGCTTGGAAACCATCCAGTGTGTTATTCAGTGAGCTCTGACTTTTGAGACTGGGGTGAGCCAAGTGTACAAACACAGGAGTAGAAGTCCTGTGTAGGAGTAGAGGACTGGAGAATAAAAGGACAGATGAAGTATGTCCTAAGATGTGACAGGCAACAGCAGCAAGTGCTGTAGGAAGGGGAAATCGAACTGGTCAAAGAAAAAGTGACAATGAGGTGAAGCCAAAATGTCATAAGGATGGCACTGGAACATTACTAGTGGCCACACTTGACATTGTACACTTAGGAAGCATATGTTTCTGATCACTTTGTGTAAGCAGGCTATGTTAATTATTAATAACCAGATAAACTTCTTCCCAAAGACAAAACTTTGGCCTTGAGGTTATTTACGAAGTTTCCTATGATCCTTTCACTGTAAGTCTCCCAGCAGGTGAGAATAACCAACCTTACTTTAGTTTCAGTTATCAATGCCATTGTTCTGGGGCTGGGGTTGTAGCTCAGTGGGGGAGTGCTTGCCTAACGTGTATGAGAAACTGATTCGATCCTCAACACTAGATAAAAATAAAGGTATTGTGTCCATCTACAACTGAGAAAAATATTTGTTAAAAAATCCACCAAAACAATTCCCTCTGCAGATTTTGACTGTTCACAATACTGAGACCTCTGTGATTGTGACTTGTTTTCTTCAGTCCCATTGTTATAATAATTATTGCCTCATGATGAAAACTGTAGGAACTTGGTACACAGTGAAGTCAGCCCTAAGTAGCGTAAGATACTGTTGGCAAATATCAGTGGATTCAGTTTACCTCCTCTGCATCAGTTACAGCAAAGACTATTTTGAGCATCCAGCACTCTTTGAATACCTCAACTAAGCAGTAATGCTGAAGTTCAGAACTAAACAATATTGCAGTTTCCAAAGTGAGGACATAATCCAAGTGAACCAACTTTTGAATGCAAAATACCACCAAAAACAACAAAAACTGATGAGTAGGTTGCAATCTAAAACAAGAATTGTCTTCTCCCACAATACTTGTTTCTTCCATCCCACTTTAGTATGTTTAACTTTGAGAAAATCCTTTCTATGGTAGATTTCATTTAATGAAACAAATCCAATTGCTGTTCAAAAAGGTAAAGTAATGAAATGAAATCACCATCCAAAACAGTAAAATAAGTAACATACATGTTGAGGTTTTAGGCTGTTACCACAACCAAACAGTGCTAACTGCTGTGACAATACTGCTGCTCAGGGCACATTCAATACCAGAATCGAAATGACAGTGTTTGGGGTGGCAGCCAGGTATTGATTGGTATTTTGAAAGTATCTCTAGGCAATTGCATTGTGCAGCCAGGTGAGAACCTTGCCAGGCAGCTACAGCAAGCAGAGTCTAAGGATTAGGGGCTAACCTGAGAGTTCTTAAAGCATGCAACTGGGATAGTTTGAAATATATTAAGCATAAAATATGGTTCTTTAAAAAAAAAAAAAAAAGCTTCATGTTTTACTGTATGTTCTATTGATTTTAAAGCCTTTTTCTCACACTTTAGATATACATATCTAAATATATACATTTTAGTAGATGCACACAATACCTTTATTTTATATATTTATGTGGTGCTCAGGATCGAACCCAATGCTCACATGTGCTACTCAAGTGCTCTGCCACTGAGCCTCAGCCCAAGTCCTCAAAATGTATTTTAAGAGGCAAATGCCCTGTCAAGGTCACACTAGTTTTGAGTTTCATGAAGTGTGGAAGCAGTTCCCCAGAGTATCATAACTATTTGGGCAGTGGCAGCAGTAACTCGGTTTTTAATTTTAATAATTTTTGAGCAACCTTGGAGAAAAGCTGGGTGTGGCGAGGCAGGGAGATGGTAAGTTCAAAGCTGGCCTGGGCTACTTGGTGAGATCCTGTCTCAAAGTAAGAAGGGATGGGGATGTAGCTCAGTGGTTTTGCAATCTCAGTGAAGAACCTAAAGTTCAGAAAAACTTTTAAGTAAGTTCAGCTGGTCAGTG